ATAGAATTCATTCTCACGTGAAACCATCTCTCTCTCTAGATCTCATTCGAGCTTTATCTTCTTCTTGTTGCTCCACTGGTACAAGTTGCAGAAGGGTGTATTGAGTAATACAGTAGAAGATCTGTAGGTAAACCGAGACGAAATTGATTTTGACCTACAGAACTAACCGGAAGTCCGATTGAGACGTACAGTATACTCAGACGACCGTCTCGACGAGAGCTTTCCATCGCCGCCGACGTCGCCGGAATCCGACGCCGCACGCGCCCTCACGCGCCGCCGGAAGGAGTCTGGCAGCAAAATTTCGTTTTGATCTGTTTGCATCCGTTTGATCCAGTTTTGATCTGATCTTGATCTGATCTTGTTCGTGCAACCCAAGACGCGTGTTGCGGTCAATCAATTGCGGTCAACCGTTCGTGGTCAACCAGATCTACATAAATTTTAAGCCGTAAGTTCTCTACGTCAAACCTTTAGATCCGCTGCGCATAGGTTTACGTTTGCTATTGAATTCGTGATTTGTACATAACGAGATCCTCACAGATCCCAACAAGATTGACATCTTTTAAAATCAGGTAATAGTACGAATTTTGATTTGTAGGGAATTTCAAAATTACCTTTAATTTTCTTCGTATAGAGACGATGAAGAGAGAATCAGTTCGCGGGTAGTCGTAGGGATCCACGTATCTCCCCTCTTATCAATACATAGTCGTAGGGATCCACGTATCTCCCCTCTTACCAATCCACCTTTTGAATTTCAACTCCGAGTCAATCTTCGCTAGTGGAATTGCCACAGTATTGAATTGGTATAGGAACAAAAATTAAGAGGAGATTTTTTTTTTTTCCTAATCTTCTTTTCGAAAATATTTGGGAGCCGTGAGTAGGGCTGTAAATGAGCCAAGCCGAGCTCGAGCTTAGGGTGCTCGAGCTCGAGCTGGAGCCTCTAACGAGCTGAGTCGAGCCGAGCCGAGCTCGAGCTTAGGGTGCTCGAGCTTGAGCTCGAGCCAAACTCGAGCCATAACGAGCCGAGCTCGAGCCAGGCTCGTTTAATTTAACAGCACTAGTCGTGAGTTCTCCAAAAACTTGGGGAGAGATGGTCATGTACCACACCTCTTCATTTTATATGTACATCTAATGTACATATATATATATATATATATATATANTAGCCGAGCCGAGCTAGGCTCGTTTAAATGTAACAACACTAATTTATATATAAAAAATAAATTATTTTTTATTTACATTCATTAAATGTATTCACACCTATTTCTTAAACAGGAGAGCTCGGCTCGTTAACTAAACGAGCTTTAAATGAGCTCGAGCTCGACTCGTTAAAGCCTCGAACTCGGTCTAAACTCGAGCCTTAACGAGCCGAGCCGAGCTAGGCTCGTTTAATTTAACAATACTAATTTATATATAGAAAATAAATTATTTTTTATTTACATTNACCCACCCCACCTTTGATATAAAAAACCTCCACATTGATATAACATAAGCTTTATAATAGAGGATTGTTTTAACATAAGCTTTATAATAGAGGAAATGACAATCAATGTAGGCAGAACTGGTCCTGAACTTCATAAGGCTGGGCGAAATGTGAAAAATATTTCATTTGTTTTTGTTTTTATTTTTGTTTTGTTTCTTTTTTTTTTGTGTGAAAAGATTTCATTAAAAAAACATAATATTACTAGCTATAATAAAATAGTAAAATTTAAAATATAATTATAGATANAAAAAAAAAAAAAAAAAGATGGTTCTTTTCGTAACTTCCTAATAAACCGTCTATGCGTTATTTGTAGTGTTGTTAAATTAAAGGAGCCTGTCATTTAAAGCTCGTTTGGTAGCTCGACTCGATAAGGCTCGTTAAGAAAAAAGAATTTTTATATAATTTTTTATAATTTGGCTTGTTAAAGCTCGAGATCGGCTTGTTAATAGTGATTAACGAGCTCGATTTCTGGCTCGTTTTTTAACGAGCTGAGCTCGACTCGACTCGTTTACAGGCCTAGTTATTTGACAAGGAAAAGAGGCGAACGGACATTGGCAGTGGCCTCGTCGAGCTCACGGAGCGCGTTTTCTCCTATTTGGTCGATTTCTGCATTGGCCTCTTCGGCAAACCGGGTCAGGTAAGCCGACCGCTCGTCTAAATAATCCGCGAGTTGAACCTTCTGAGCTTCGAGCATTGCAATACGGGCAAGAAGCTCCTGTTTTCGAGTGTCGCCCGGAGTTTTGTCATCAGAATTTCCCGAGCTTTTGTTGGCTGTGGTGCAGAGTACGATAATGGGCTTTCTCTTTCGAAAGGCTTCTTTTTCGGGTAAGGTGGGAGGAATGTGGTTTGGGGTGAAGGGTTGGATTGATTTGAGGGAAATCATGGTGTTAGTGTTGTGTGCTTTGTTGTTTTACAGTAGGAAGAGTTTTGAACCTCACGTTGTTATTATCCTTTTTGGATTATCATGTTCTGAGTTTAGGACTCTGTGTGTTTGTCCAGAAGTGATGAATAATAAATATCTTAATCGATGTTATTTTTGTAAGATTGATTTTTTTTATTTTTTATTTTTCGTATTTACTTGCTTCCCAACTTTGGGTTTTAGCAATATGGTTTTGGGCTTCGGGTTTTAGCATTATTAATTTGGCCTACGGTGTGGTATTGGTTATGGGTCGAGCAGGTTGGGCTTTTAGTAGTCTGGAGTTATTGATTGTTCTTTCGGTTAGAACTCTTTGATATACACCAAATAGCCTTTTAGGAAGTTTAGATTTGAGAGAAAGT